ATTGTCTCACTATCAGTGAGATAGTGAGAGAAGAACCCAGATTATGATACCCTAACTCTAAAATATTTTCCACAGAGAAGCTTCCCAGAATTGAGTCTGTTTTGTTTTCAGTGCTAATAGGAGGCTTTTTATTTCTTGAAGTTTATTGGAACTTGGCTTTATATTATTTTTCTTGCCAGTGGCTTATTTGTTCTGTTTTTATATTTATAGAGAGAGTCTGTGCTCTTATTGATTCGATGAAAGCAGATCTCTCTCATGGCTGGCTGAAGAGCAAGTTAAATGTACAAAATAAACAACATACAATATACCTAGCTACTCCACTTGCAGCTCAGGTGAGCAAGCAGTATTTAATAATCCTTCTCAGTAAAATTATAAGATCATTAATTTTAAATGGCTGGATAGAAATGCCATGTACAGCTCACAAGATAAAGCCTTTAAGAAGCAAATATTTTATTTCTGTTTGAGCTCTACTAGGCTTGGTAAAACTTGAGAGGAACATTCAGTACTCATAGCACAATCCTTTAGGTGTCAAGAATAGAGATAGACATGAACCCGCCTTTAAGAAGCAAATATTTTATTTCTGTTTGAGCTCTGCTAGGCTTGGTAGAACTTGAGAGAAACATTCAGTACTAATAGCACAATCCTTTACGTGTCAAGAATAGAGATGGACATGAACCTCAGTTTGGAGTTTTGTGCCGGTTTGTGAGACTGGCACCACAGGTGCCACACATTCTCTTCCTCCCCACCTCCAGACGGCTCCCCCAAGCAAATATTTTATTTCTGTTTGAGCTCTGCTAGGCTTGGTAGAACTTGAGAGAAACATTCAGTACTAATAGCACAATCCTTTACGTGTCAAGAATAGAGATGGACATGAACCTCAGTTTGGAGTTTTGTGCCGGTTTGTGAGACTGGCACCACAGGTGCCACACATTCTCTTCCTCCCCACCTCCAGACGGCTCCCCCACTCACCAGCCGGCACACGCTGCTCTTTTCAGGCATTCAAGCAGTCCCAGCAGGAGTGAATGTTTCCCTGCTCCATCTCTTTCAGCAGCTGCCCACTCATCGAGGTGCGTGTCCATCTCTAGTTTAGAATACTACACAGCAGCTGCCCACTCATCGAGGTGCGTGTGTGTCCATCTCTAGTTTAGAATACTACTGTGTACATGTAGCATCAGAAATAAGTCCCACTAAAGCCAATGGAGCTTACTGCCTTGTAAACATATACAGGCTTGCAACATTACTGCATAGTCCTATATGTGTCTACTCAGAGGTTAGTGCCACTGATTTCAGTAAAACTTATTTCCTAGCAAGTGAGTATAGGTCTGAAACCTTTTTTCTCTGCCCGGAATTTAAAATCCTGGATAGTTTGTATTCTGGTGATGTGATTCAGGGATACATAGTACAGATAATTCATCATTACAGCTGAAATCGCATCATAGTTTAAAGGATTTTATTGTTTTTTCATGTCTGAAATATCAGATTTACAAAGGAAAAATATGGTTCTGTCTTGGAGACCAGTCTCAAAACAAAGCACATTGTGGGTGTTAGAAAAATCTTCATGGGAAGACTGCACACTATCAACACTTAAGGAGCAACGTTTTCTAGTGATGTGTAATCTTTAACACATAGTTGTACCTTAACCCTATGATAAAATCCTGGAATCCCTTTAGAAGGCTCAGCACATTTTTGCCCAGTACAATTTGTCTCTGTTTCCCTATTTCCCCTGGAGCCTCTTTATTATTCAGAGGTGCAGTTTTCTATATGGTATGGAAATATGGGAGCACAATGTTTCATATAGACTGGATTCTGAGGTAAATCATGTGTTGGATACTCCATGTGTAAATGGACCATTCAGTATTGAACTGAAGCAGATATAATTTGGACCTAAGGAACTTATGAAAGAAGAGAGAAGACTGAAATGTCTTCAAGAGCAATCATCTTACATTATACTTCCCCAAAGTGGAGGTATAATGCAGTTCATTTGAAAATGGACTTTCTTCAGCCTACATTTCTCAGTCAGAAAGAAATAAAGAAAAATGGATATCTTCAGGTTTCTTACATTAACCTCCGAAAGATTTGTTCCTGGTAGGTCTGGTTTGTTACATATGGCAAGTAAACCCTGTGGAATTCTGGGGCATGCCTTAGGGCCACATCACACACGTTGAAGGTGAACATGTTCTCCTCAAGTTTTTCTTCCAGGTCAAAGAGGAAACTGCAGAATCCCCAGGTGATCATGAAAGAGAAGCACACAATGGTTACTAAAACTGTTGTTCATTTTTGTTTATGATTAGAACCATATCCCAGTTTTCTTCCAAACATGGCATTCAAGGTGGTTTATAATAAAACTGCATAAAATCGACACAATTAAACCATAAACAAATAGAAACATGATCAGTGAAGTTACTGCCACAAGTGAATTTCATGATCCTTTCTGCCTGGTACCCAGTCAGCAAAAGAAACACAGTATTCTAGACCAGAAGTTTCTAAACACTTTTTAGAGGCAACTTTAGGCAGATTATGTATTACCTGTCCAGGTCTTGAGATCTTCTGGGGAGATCTTCAATCCTGCCACTTTTTGAGACAATCTAGCATGGATCTGAGAGTGGACTTACATAGGGGTGCCTCCTGGAACTCCCTATTAAGGAAGGTTAAGTTGACTCCCTTTTTGTTTTCTTCCCATTGCCTGGCAAGGATCCTTTCTTTCCAAGGAGGCTTTTGGCAAATGACCTCAAACATAGAAGTGGATTTTTAAACTCAGTATGTGTTGTATTTTTCTTTTGCTGGTGTGTTTTAAGCTTGTGTTTTAATTTTGCAAATGCTTTTATTCATTTTATGTAGTTGGCATATTCAATTGCAAGATGCCTAAGTCACATTCATGGAAAAAAGTAGAATGTACTTAAAATAACATAATACAAAATACTTTGTTATGGGTGAAAAAATAGAGAAGCTCTTATCTATGGTGAATGGGGATTCTAGATTAGAGGGAGTTACCTTTTAAAAAAATCCTTAACAAAAGCAGATCCTAAGCAAATAGATCAGTTGCTCATTGTGGATGAACAATCACTTAAGGCCTGTGGGCCAGGATATTTTAAATGCCATTCTCTCCATGTGTTATCTTACTTGATTTAAGGGCTTACATGTGCCCCTCCTTGTGGGAAACATATCATGTAGTCTCGTTTCCAAACTCACTCATTAAGAATCTGTGATTCCAATTGCAAACAGTCATTATATTTTACTACTATTAAAGCTAAATCAGATTACATTTAAGGAAGAGGGAGAGGCTTTGTCTGCATCAAAGAACTTAAATTGGGTGAATGCACTATCAGCTATTTGGGGAATTCAACTAACAAAAAAAAAATCCATCTGTGAAGGGCCAGGCACCTCATTCTCACCAACTTTTTAATTGCCTTAATGCCCCTCCTCCCCACTGTTTCCCTGGTAATCTGCCATACTTGTTCTCCCTTTCTCCCCCAAAACTGATAAGAGAGACTGTGCTCAAATCTATCTTTCTGATTAGACTGATGGAAAAGAATTAATCCAACTCACCCTTAAAATACGAATTAATCTGAGAAATAAACAATGGAATCCTACGCCCAGAAGTCAGTCCAACTAAGCTCACTAGGGCTTACTCACAGCTAGTGCATAAGGATTGCAGCTGAAGTTTAATATTAACTGGATCCTAAAAATAGCATCAATAAAATCACAAGGCTAAAAATACAAAACATCTGTCAATGCCAACTTTTTGAGACACTTCAGCTCTCAGCCTGTTGTTCAGGGACAGGACATTCCAATTCTTTCTGCTTTCTGTCTTTTTGCAATAATTCTGCACTTGCCTTCACAGCTTCCCTGCTTGGGACACGGCTGCACGGGGCACTGCATCAGAAGACTGAGCATCCACCAAGCACCATAAGGCTGAATTTGGAGGTGACATGGTTATGGATGAGCAGGAAGCACAGAAACCTTACTCATTCTGTTTATGCAGGGTCGAGTTTCAGGTAGCTCTGGCTGAGCATCAGTTTTCAACGTGACTTAACGTCAATCCAAGCCAGACTCTGCAATAATTTTTATCATTTTTGGGCACAATTCAGAGTCCTGGTTTTAATTTATACAGCCCTAAATGTCTTGAGCCCAAGCTATCTCAAAAACCATACCGCCCCCCTTTTATGAGACTGTCTGGGTCTCATCATCATCATCATCATCATCAGGGGACGCCTTTCTCTTGGTCCCAGCATCCTTACAGGTGCACTCAGTGGGGACACAGGAGAGGGACTTTTCTGTCACTGCTTCCAGACTCTGGAACTCCCTCCCACAGGAGGTCAGGCTGGCCCCATCATTGCTGTCCTTCTGAAAGCAGGCAAAGACCTTTCTCTTTAGGCAGGCTTTTCCTTAGTGACTGACTCTCTAGGATACAATAAACAGAACAGTTTATATTTGGTTGTTTCTAAATCAGTTTTTAGCAATGCTTTTACTTAATTTTTTAAAATATAATGTTATTTGCTTCTTCTTTAACATTTGAATAATGTACTGTTTTTAGTTTTTAATCTTGTGTTTTTAATTATATGTAAGCCACCTTGGACCCTTTTTTGGAAGAAAGGCAGGTTAAAAGCTAAACAAACAAACAAACAAACAAACAAACAAACAAATAACCTTGGAAGTCTCTGAGCCTGTGTATGTGTGTGACCGTTAGACACACAGAAACACAGAGACAATTAAATTCAGCTACTTACATTCCATCCACCTTCCAAAGGTCACTCTTGGAAAACAACAGATAAACATTAAGGAACAATTTAAAAAATGTACAACATTAAAGAGTATCAACCTGTTGTATTGGCTTCAAATAATTTATTCTATGATGCCAAACCTTGATAGAAGACGTTGGCTTTTGAAAACAAAAGGGTCAGAACTCACTTAGCACTGACATCACGGACATCCTGAAGGCGTGAAAAAAGCCACTGTCTGTCTTGATTACTCAACACTGCCTGGAGTTCTTGGGAGTGCTGAAAGTGATCCACAGCAATATTTAAACTCCGTAGGTAGGAGGCTTCTGATGCAATCAGTTCAAACTTAGCCTGCCAAGAGCAAGAGAGATATCATGGCTATAGAGAAGGGGTCAGTGATTTCTGGAGGTCTGGGAGAGGCATATACACATCCTTGGACTTTGGAGGGCTGCACCGGAACTTCATCCTGTTTTCTTTTGTTGTTGCTATGCAAAAAGAGAGGGTACTAAAAATGTATCCTTGCATCATCCAACACCTGCACCTTCTAGTGGCCACATTTTAATTAAACATCAAGGTGCATGGAAGCCCCAGGAAACCATTGTTTTTATCTGCTATGGTTGCAGTCCTATGTGCCCTTATCTTGAAGAAAGGCAAGACTTACTACTGTATAATGCTTGGCTTGAAAATCGTTGCAGAAGAGTTGGTGGCTAGTAGATACCTCTTTAAGATTAACACAATAAAACAGATCCTAGTCTTACAGCCAGTATTTGGCTGGTTATTTCCATTAACACTTTAATTTATGCCTTTCTTGATTCTACAACACCTGAACACATGGACCTTTACTCAGTGTTGAGCCAGGATACTCAAAAACACACACACCTGAACATCTCAGCTTTCCTTTTGGAACTCTGACCCTCTTTCCCTCATTTATCTGGATCATGCAACCTTCAAGTCCTTGTCTTATTGCCTGCTGCTTCTACATACCCTTCCCACAGTTCTTCTGACTAACTGTGTAGAACAGAGTATTACCTCCTGCAGCTTCTGTTCCTCACGGGTCATGCTTAGCAACATTGTGCTCCCTCGGACCATAGGGATGTCCTGCCAGAGAGATGCACTGGAAGAGACTGACAGGCGTTGGAGATAGGAGTCCTGAGAGGGCAACACTTTTCTACGTAATCTTGGGGAGCTTGGGGAAGACCCTGGTTCCACGTCTTCAGATAAGGAATCTCTCTTTTGGTTTTGAATGGCTTTGTTGAGTGCAACATCACTGTACTCCTGGTAGAGTAACCTTGCTGTAGACAAAAAGAATCAGGTTATATTTTCTGAATCAACACTCCAGGCCTATAATACAAACTGTTGTGCTGTGGGTTGTGGAGTCATAAGGCTGTGGGGGAAGGGTAAGTTTTTATGAATTAAGGTCAGGGGGCAAAACCCCATACCACATAAGAAGCTGATATATTTAATTTCCCATTATTTCTAAATTCAGAAAATCACTAAAAATAATTATGTTAGTGTGACGTTTAACCCTTGTGGCCCCTGTTTGTCTCCCCAATACAGAGAACTCACAAAGGCAACCCCCCCCCAAAAAAAAAACCTTTCCACTCTAAATTCAGAAAATCACTAAAAATAATTACGTTAGTGTGACGTTTACCCCTTGTGGCCCCTGTTTGTCTCCCCAAAACAGAGAACTCACAAAGGCAAACCAAAATAAAACCCTTTCCACACGCTGCCACCAGCTGATTTTTTATCAACGTACTTTACTTAGGAAAGACAAAGGTCCATTCATCACTGTCTTTTGAATAAAACAGGTTTATTGATTACAGAAGTTTTATAATAATACATAAGTATCTTCTTTAGGTTCATCAAGCATCCATAACAATCTTCTATATTATCTTACAGGTTACTATTCACTCCTCAGACTAATCACTCCTCAGATTCCCAAACTCTCTCTCTCTCTCTCTCTCTCCCTTCAAACTCAGATCCTGACTGTAAACTAAACTCCTCCTCTCTGGCTCCACCTTTTAACATCTCTAGTGGCCCCACTTCTCAACCACATCACCATAAAACATGAATAATGTATGAGTTATTTAACATAATAAGGGTGAATGCCACAGTTAGATGTCCACACGTTTAAGAAAGGTAGCAACAGGTTGGCCATTATGCAGCCACCATTTAATTGTCTACTAGTGGATTTCATGGTGGGGGCGACTTTGCTTATTTTCTGAGCAGCTAGAGGATAATTCTTCCCTGCATAACTCTAATTTCGCACATAACTTTTGAACAATTATAACTGAACATTCTGAGATGAGGAATGAAATATTGAGGCCTAACAGACCCTCTATTTTTGTCAAACAAATGAAATTACTACTTAGATGTAGGAGAGTGTCAAAGAGCATTGTTTCACAGGTTGACATAGGGTCAAAGGAGAGGTGAGGACAACTACATCTGTTGCTCACATGTCGTCTCTACTGATGAAGAAAGATGGGGCTGAGACATACGTTTACCATCAAAGAAGACTGATGGGTAAGCAGAATTGAACCTTGTTCCCTTAAATCTTGTTGCTGTGAACACTTTCCTCTCAGCTGAACTCTGATAATGGAAGCCAAATTTGGGAGAAGACATGAACGAAATAATAGAGTATAGGGAAACATGGCAGGACAAAGCTCAGCTCTCCTCACCTGTTTAGCAATTTCAGTGTACAGATCAGGCCTCTACCCTATGCTTTAGGCAGAAATGGGATGCTGATGCAAAGAAACACATGTAATTGTTAACAATACTATATCTTGTTGGTCCACAGGGAAGCAAGCACTTAAATATATTTGGTGATGAGTTACCGTTTAGATAATTCACATTCTCTGCAAAGGGAGGACAAGGTATCATTTACAGAATGTTATTAAATATTCTTCTCAGCCATATTCTGAGTTTACTCCACATCTCTTTGTCCCTTTAGTGATGAAAGAGCAGCCATCGTGTTCTTGAGCAGGAAAATGGCATGGGGCCCCAATTCAAATTGAAAGTGCAGCTGGATCAGGGACTCATGGCTACTTATATTTCAAAATGCAAGTGGCCAGTTTAAGCACACTTGTCTGAAACTGAAGAATCTGACATGTCATTTAGCCTTTACATAAGGAAAGAATACTACAAAATTAATAATAAACAGGAGATACTCACAGGAATTGATCAGTTTTGAGTGACGCCGCTTGAAGTTTTCCACTGCTGCTGCTGTTTTTATTTCTCTTTCAGGCAAAGAAAATAATGAGGACATTTTACCAAAAATAAGGAAAATCAATAAAACTTCCAAAAGAAATTGAAATTGAAATTGAATAAATAAATAAATAAATAAATAAATAAATAAATAAATAAATCCTGAATGTTGGGCCTCACCAGTAACTGTCATGTTTACAATCCTATACTGACTATTTTTGCTGCAGAGAATGATAGGTTCACTCTAATCACTTATAGATAAATTACAAAAGAAAAAAATGGGGAAAAACCATGGGGATTAAAACGAGGTTCAATATTTGCCCCAGTGGGTAAGAGGTTAGGACCAAAAATGATCCAAGATGATTCAAGATGTAAGCAATTTGAATGTTTATTCAGATCACAGTGAAAAAGACAGGACTTGGTCCATGAAATTAATATATGGGGAATCGATGCATTTTTGACACAATGCAAGACAAGAATTAAATATAAATATATAATATTCATACATACATACATCTGCAAAATTAGTCACAGTTAGCCCTTTTAAACACAGACAGACAGACAGACAGACACACACACACACACTTCCAATCTTCCACCAGCTCTCTAGGTAAAGACCACTATGTTCCCAGCTATGAGTTCCTACCTAAAGACTTTGGAGGACGATTTATAGCGACTTATTAAAAGGAGCAGTTTTTCCAAAGACTCCAGCCCTGTTCAACTGGTAGGATATCCCATTTCCTGAACTTAGAGGGGAGCACCTTGCCCCACTCTCTTCTGTCAGGGCTTTCCTCATACAGTGGCTAAAGTCCAGTTGCTTGGCAGAGTAAGTGTCAAGTACAGTAAGCCCACTAAATCAGTGGAAATTTGGTGGGTCAACTCTTCCATAAGTTCCATTGATTCAATGGCCATACTCTAGTTGTGGCTTATTAGCAACATTCTAAAACTTGAAGGGTTTCAGGTGAAGATTAATGGTCCAGGAGAGAGTGAAAAAAAAAATTAAGGAAAAGAAAGTAAAAGAAACCTAGGACCATTTCAGAGTTTATTCTGAGCCAAATATCTAGTCTAGGAAAAATGAGAGGAAAAATGCTGACTAAGGATGTAAAATCTCCCAGAAGTAGTAACCTAGCCCATCATAAAACCACAGCCTCCCTCAAAGTGAAGGCAGAAAACTCCCAAAGTTATTAAAGCAAAATTTGCAAGAAGTAGAATTATGTGAGCAAAAGATTGCTTCAGATGTCTGATCATACTGTCTTGCCACTGGACTACTTAAGAACTTCATTATGCCGGGGGATAATTAACTATGACAGAATCCTTCATGTGATTTTGATAAATATAGGATCAACTGTATATAAAAGAGGTCTCAGTGATTTGCTCTAACTCATTAAGCCAAAACAAAAATACAACAACAAAACCCTGGTTAAAGCATTTAAACTTAGATTTGTTTCAGAAAGTGCAAGAGAGAAGCTGAAGTCCACTGCACTTACAGAACATTAAAGGAACTAGATAGAAAGACATTATAACAAGAGACTTACCCATATTTTACTCGGTCAAAATGTTCAGTTTTGTCTTTTTGTGCAGAAGCTTCCTCCTTAGAAGTAACAAGAGGTGCTATTCCTTCTGAAAACAAAGGAGATAAAAATTTATCTCTTTTTTGCCAAGCAAATTAAATGTCTGCATTCCTTTAATTTGGTTAGAACTTCTCACCCAAGAGGATGGCAAGATAGCTCATTAAAATCAGTAGACATGCAGCGGAAGGCATACATGCTGCAGGAAGAAGCTGTGGTAGGAGAGCGCAGCTGGGGCAATGCATTTCTGCGTAGGACTCCCGTCTATATTTCAGGAGTTCCCATTCATTGGAGACCAAGTTTTTGCTCTTGCCACAGTGGTGTCCCCAAATGCAGAAATATGTTCTCCTCTGCCCCCAGAACTGAGCAACAGCCATTCACTCATCAGGAACCAAATAGAAACATCTCAGTTTACTTGGGCTTCTTGCCAAGTCTCACAGTTCCTTACAGTCCCAATTTAAATGTTGTTTGAATGCATGGGAGCCTGTGGCTGTTCCCACATCAGTGAAGTAGTGTGCAGAATCTCGGGCTGGCGGGTTCTTATTTCCAGTTCAGACCAAGAATGGTTTCTAGATACACTGTCACAAATATGGCTCAGGACCACATATGCTTCCCTCAGACCACATGGGCAGGGACATTCTGCGTGACTCTCTGTGACCCTGGAACAACCATGGGAGATGCAGTTCCCATATGATTAAAATATTAATCAGATTAGACTTTACATTGTAGCAGTACCAATGAGAGCCATTGAAAACTCAGCTTGTCCCAATTTGCACATAACACTTCCTGAGCATGCTGAAATGAGACATAACCCAGTAACTATGGTAGAGAGAAAAAAACAGCAAAATGCTGATCGCCATGGGTCTTAGGCTCTGTGCAGAATGGAGGTGAGCATACTACAAGTATATCACATGGATTGACTCCCTAAAAGGAAGCCAAAGGTTTGAGTTTACAATCGCTGAGCACAGCAGCTGAAGACAGGATGTTTTGGAGATTGCTCATTCATAGGGTTGCCATACGTCAGAAGTGACTTGACGGCACATAACAGCCAATTTCACATATAAAGAAGAAATTATGCTGGAAATACTACTGAGACATAGGATTGGCCCTATTCCCTGTTCCAGTCTACTAAACAATAGAGAACGAAGCCTGCTCCCATCTCAGCAACCTGAGAGAGAGAGAGAGATTAAAATCAGTTCCCACCACTAAATAAATAAATACACAAGAAGACCTTGCTGGATCATATAATCCAGGATGCCCGTGTAATCCTGCCCGCTCTTCTTAACAGTGACTTTGGAGGCATCCTGTAAGTCAGTGGTCCCCAACCTTGGGCCTCCAGATGTTCTTGGACTTCAACTCCCAGAAATCCTGGCCAGCAGAGGTGGTGGTGAGGGCTTCTGGGAGTTGTATTTCAAGAAGATCTGGAGGCCCAACGTTGAGGACCGCTGCTGTAAGTAGAGCACACAAGCAAGAGCTTTCCTTGCTTGCCCTGATTATTTTATGCTTAGAGATATACTGTCTCACGTGGGGATGCAATTAAGCTATCGTGATGACTTTCAGAGAAAGCTGTCACCTGAATTTGATTAATTCTTCTTTACAGATATCTAAGGCAGGGATCATTAGCACATATGAAGCTCAGATAGCTTCAAAAGAGATTAGGTGACTTAATGGAACACAAGTCATTCAATGGCTGCTGTCAGAATATAGAAATGGAACCCCTATGTTCAGATATGGTATACCCCTGTAGCTGATTGCCTTGGACAGGCAGGGAAGGGTAATTACCATTATGCTCTATTTGTGGATGTCTCAAATAGAGCATAATGAGATAGATTCTGGGTCTGAACTGAGAGGGCTTCTCTTAAGTTCTTGATATTTCATACTGGCATGTAGAGAGATTTAACTCCATATTTGTAAGTAATTTGTGCTCTCATAATTTCAAGATAATATCATTGGTTTTGCAAATGTAATGTGTTATTAACCTAAGATGTCTTAATGGAGAGTTGTCAGTTCTTTTACTGGAGGATGAAAGGTAAAGAGTCATGTGAAAAATAAAGTATAATCTTTTTTAAATTCTATGTTTTGTGTATAAGGACATACCGTGTTTCCCCAAAAATAAGACAGGGTCTTATATTAATTTTTGCTCCAAAAATCGCATAAGGGCATATTTTCAGGGGATTTTTTTCATGTACAACTATCTACATTTATTCAAATACAGTCATGCCATCTTCTGGTTGCTGCACAATGGTGGAAGGCAGTGTTTCACTTAAATGGGGCTTATTTTTGGGGTAAGGCTTATATTATGAGCATCCTGAAAAATCATAATAGGGCTTACTTTCAGAATAGGGCTTATTTTCGGGGAAACAGGTTTCAGGGGATTTTTTTCATGTACAACTATCTACATTTATTCAAATACAGTCATGCCATCTTCTGGTTGCTGCACAATGGTGGAAGGCAGTGTTTCACTTAAATGGGGCTTATTTTTGGGGTAAGGCTTATATTATGAGCATCCTGAAAAATCATAATAGGGCTTACTTTCAGAATAGGGCTTATTTTTGGGGAAACAGGGTAATTAAAATAATCTGGTCCTTCGCAGGTCTCAAAATTAGATAAATACAACCACAGATGAACAACACATGATATATTAGACAGTGTCATGATTTATTTTACAAAAAGAAAGCCAAAATAGAGAAGCCATGTGTGAAAAAATAAGTACACAGTTACTGCTTCCATAGGAATTATGAAGCTATGTAGCAACCAGGTGCTGCTAACCAAATGCCCCATAGTAATTGATCATCAGCCAGTGTGACCACCTCTATAAAAACTGATGTTTTAGTAGTTTGGTGGTCTGGAGCATTCAGGTGTGTGTTAACACAAAGTCAAGAAGGAAACACATCATCAATTATCACAGAGAAGCAATTGTTGCTGCCCATCAATCTGGAAAGGGTTATAAGGCCTTTTCCATCATTATAACACTGGGGAAGATTATTCACAAGTGGAAAACATTCAAGAGAACAGCCAGTCTTCCAAGGAGTGGACATCCAAGCAAATTCACCCCATGTTCAGACTGTGTAATGCTAAGAGAAATTGCAAAAAACCCCACAGTTATATCTTAGACTCTACAGGTCTCAGTTGGCATGTTAAATGACAGTAATATCAGAAAAAGACTGAAGAAGTATAGTTTGTTTGGAAGGGTTGCCAAGAGAATGATTCTTCTCTCTAAAAAGAACATGACAGCAGGCTTAGGTTTGCAAGGTTGCATCTGGACAAACCACAAGACTTCTGGAACAATGTCCTTTAGACAGACAAGGCCAAAATGGAGATGTTTGGCTATAATGCATACCACCACATTTGGTGATAACCAAGCACAAGGCTATAATGCATACCACCATATTTGGTGATAACCAAGCACAGCATATCAGCACAAGCACCTCATACCAACTCTCAAGCATGGTGGCAGAAGATTTGGACTTGTTTTGCAGCCACAGGACCTGGTCACCTCGCAGACACTGAGTTGACCATGAACTCCTCTGTATACCAAATATCCTAGAGTCAAATGTGAGGCCATCTCTCCAACCGCTAAAGCTTGGCTGAAATTGGGTCATGCAAAAGGACAATGATTCCAAGCACACCAGCAAATCTATAACAGAATGGCTGAAAAAGAAAAGAATCAAGGTGTTGCAATAGCCCAGTCAAAGTCCAGACCTCAACCTGATTGAAATGCTGTGGTGGGACCTTAAGAGAGATGTGAATAAACAAATGCCTGCAAACCTCAATGAACTGAAGCAACGCCGTAAACAACAGTAGGCCAAAATTCCTCCACAATGATGTGAGAGACTGATAAAGTTGTACAGAAAATGATTACTTCAATTTATTGCTGCTAAAGGTGGTTCTACAAGCTATAGAATCACAAGGTATACTTGGTTTTTCAGACATAGCTTCTCCATTTTTGTTTCACTTTTGTAAAATAAATCATGACACAGTGTAATATGCCATGTGCTATTGTGCATCTGAGGTTGTACTTACCTAATATTCAGACCTGCTAAGGAACAGATTATTTTTATTACATCCAACTTACCTAATATTCAGACCTGCTAAGGAAAAAATTATTTTTATTACATCCGGATACGTAAACCATAGAATTCAAGGTGTACTTTCTTTTTCACATGGCTTTTCCCTCATCAATCACATTGTTAAATTTGATTTTCTTGTATTTTTGAGTGGGAATTAGCATTAAAGGCACTCACCTAACAAATTGTCTGATGGTATTGAGGTCTTTCTCACACCCTGTCGATGCCAATCTTTGCTCTTTGTTCGGTGATTGATTCTTCCCTCTTCCTGTTTCTTTGAATTTGATGCCGATTCTTTTGCGTCTGACCCAGCAACATTTGTGTGTGGACAACTTGAGGATTTTTCTAAGGGTAAGTGTTTGGCTGTCCTGTCCTTTCTTGGAATTACAGCAGGAAGTGGCTCCCTGACTGATTTTCCTAAGTTCACCCTGAACCTTCCAGTGTTTCCTACACTCTGTTGTGATACCATAGGCGCTGTCATGTCCTCTGCATCTCTTTCTGGGTCTGCTTGCCACCACTGAGGCTCCTGAGAATCAGCATGTTGCCTCTGTGGATGTCTGGTAGTTGGTGGTGATGGGGGACCAAGCTGAAGGAAGTGAATTGGGTTTGTAAAAGCTAGAAGCAAAGGCGTTTCCCTTGAATTTCTGGACTCTGTAGTTTCACATCCTTTCTGACTGTCTACCAGGTGATGGGATATGAGATCAAATGAACCTTTCCCATCAGGTGTATCCATAAACTTAGCCATTGATTCAGGAATACCAGATAAACCATCTGCTGGAAATGTGTCATTTCCTAAAGGGATCGAATCTGAGTGTGCACTCAAGAGATCAACCCCATAGTCTCTGTGTGCTTCAGGTGTATTCCAGTCTTTCTGACCTTGGGAAGCACTTGTGCCAACAGAGACTTCTTCCACTCTACTCTCCATGTTGTGAAGCTGGGAAATACTTTTGGATTCATAAACAGGAGGTGCTCTCTGAGAGACCAAGTTGGAAATAGGCACACTAGCATGTGCCCAGTTATCACCCTCTATGCAGTTAATAGGCAGATTAGGTGCTGGTGCTCCCACTGAATGTTGGGCAAACTGATTGGCATCAGGAATTAGTGAGCTGCTGGAGCTAGAAGTTAGAGATACAATGGGAACAGCTTCTTTGGCTGCGTACCCTAGGGACAGGGGCTCATCTGAACTGCGCACTGACTCCGGGGACTGGCTGTATTGGTTCAGATCACATACAGAGGCTGTGTGCGCTTCAAAGTGCCCAGCACTGGGACTGGGAGTTGAAGACGATGGGGACTTAATGGGAGCTAGGAACCGACTAGTTTTGCTGGCAGAGGCTAATGGTTCTTCATGCTGGGAAGGATGCCTGGGATGAAGACCAAGGGCTGTTTCTGTATGAGCAGGGGCATTTGCATTTTGTGTATGCACTAATGACTGAACAGGCTGTCTGCAGTCTGATGCAGGTAAGGAAAGCTGACAGAAGTGGGTGGAAGTAGGCTCAAGGGCCAAGGTCTGCTCCGAAATAGGCACTGAGGTCAAAGGCTTTGTGAGCTGAGTCACATCAGTGGCTGTTGCAAAAGAAATGTCAAGAGAAGCAGGACTGGCAGTGTTGTGATCACCTACTGTTCCATTCTGCCCCAAAACTGACAAAGCTGCTGACTCATTATTTGAGGTTTGTTGCTCCATGTGAAGTGTATCTGCTCCTGTGTCTTTTCTAGGAAACACAAAAATTTCCGTTGGCTTTTGGTGCTGATGTAATTCCTCAAAATAATGTACGGTCGTGTCTTTTTCCTGAAATGATACTGGATTCCGTGTAGTCCAAGAGGAAACATAGCTCATTTCAACAGTATGTTGAGCTGTATCATACAGCCCTTCTCCTAGAGATATATTCTGGAGATTTTCAGAGGCAGAATCCTGAATGTCTTCATGGAAGTCCTCAGTGAAGTTATTTGTTTTGCTGGAATCCTGTACAACCATATCACTATCCACTGCTGAGGCTTCATCATGAGCCATGAGGTCCAGGTGACAAGAGATAGATAAGTTCTCGTTTGGTGCCTCTTGTAAGGAATCAGATTTTTCACAGAACACAGCATTGCCTACAATACTATCACTGGCTCCCTTGTTTGAAATTACCTGCTGTGCACTCTCTGCTTTTGTGGTCCCCAGTGAGAAGGGAGGAATATGTATTTCAACATCAACAGGATAATCTTCAGGTTGTGTATCATGCAGGTCCTCAGGACCAGGAGATAGTACCAAATCTCCACAAGAAACTCGCATTCCTTCACCATCAATGTCCCTGACACTTCTCTCACCCCCAGCACTTTCATTTTCAAAAGAACCTTTCCTGTCCTCCTCAGTGGGCTGGTCACCATTGTGGCCACTATGGGAAGTATGGTCTGCTTGCTCATACATGCCAGAGCCTTCCAACGGGCTGGAGTCAGGACAGGCAGGAGGCACTATGTCCTCAGTGGGCTGGTCACCATTGTGGCCACCACTATGGGAAGTATGGTCTGCTTGATCATACCTGCCAGAGCCTTCCAACGGGCGGGAGTCAGGACAGACAGGAGGCACTATGCGTAAACCTTCAGTGGGAGTTCTGGCAAATGGCATAGTTGTTGCATGGACACAGGACTCTGGTAATCCACTTGTTGACTTTGGGCAATGGCTTGATGGGTAGCCCTGCTCCAAAGAGACTGCAAATCCTTCAGTGTTAGCCAAGGAACTGTTTTGGTTTAAATCAGGGGAAGCCACATTTTTTGCCATATTAGACAGCATATCTAGACCTGATATAACTGGTGTGGCAGCCCTCTTTCTCTGTACCTTTTCCCTGGATGCCTTCATTGCTTTCATGTCACACTTTTGACCTTCCTGAGCATCACACTCCAGTTCTGGCTTGTCATTTTCTCCCATTTTGTTTTCCATTCCTTTCCAGTCCAGAATCTTCTCCTTCCCACTCCATCCATTGTCTCCCAACTCCAGAGTTTCTGTCTCTGCTGATTCTGGCTTCACTTTTTGCAACAGCTCTTTCTGATCTGCTTCTGATTCACTACAATCTATAGGGCTTTCGGCACCATTTGTTTTGATTATTTCCTTTAAGGAAGGAGCTCTATTTTCCCCTTCCCCATCCTCTTCTTTGACCAGGAAATGGAGGACAGCACTACTTGAATTTTTCACTCGTTCTTTCATTTTTTCTTCCATGTCTAAATGATTCTCTACTATCTGAGAAGATATCAGAGACAAAATTCCACCAGTCTTTGTTTGTGTCATATCTGCATGTATTCCTTTATCTTCAGAAGTGCCAGAACATGACTGGGAAGAAGCAGAAGATTCCTCATCCTCTCTTTCTCCCTTTAAGTCTCTTACTCTCTGTTCCTCATTCTTTGTGGAAAACCGGTATCCCATCTGGCCAGCTCCTTCTGTATGAGGGTGCATCTCAGTGTCCTGCACTGCTTGCATACTTTCTAAAATCCCCTCATTCATTTCCTGCTGTGTGTCTATTTCCAATGAGTGATTTACACCTGATTTGTCTTCAAAAGACTCGGCATTCTGGTGACATTTTGAAATATCATGAGACACTGGTAGACATTCATAGTCTGATTCTTTCTGAGCAGCAACACTTTCCATTACAATGGTTTCCTCACCCTGTACTTCAGAAAATGTGTCATAAGAGTTCGGAGGTTGGGGAAATCCAGCAGTGAGGACTTGGATCTCCACTTGTCCCTCTGCAACCTCATTAGGAGAGCTTGGGACTTGTGCCTGAGTGACGAGAGAAGACTGATGACAGCTTAAGGAAGAAACAGCTGTATCTGCCTCCAGATGGCCATGAAGGGAGGTATCCCTGGCTTCTTGGATACAGAGATTTCTTTCTCCTTCTGAAGGTTCCGTCCAGGTGTCTGGATCTCTCTGACTTCTTTCGGGATACAGAGATTTCTTTCTCCTTCTGAAGAGGTGTCTGGATCTCTCTGACTTCTTTCTCGTTCCACAGAAGCCTCTTTTTGCACAGCATTCGAAAGTCTGCCCCATATCTGTTCTTCCACAACAAAGAGAAGTGCCAGGTCTTGAGCAAAAGAGATATCCTCGTCCTTCTCTTGCTCCACCTCTTCTGAAATACTACTCATGGTGATAACCTTTGTACCATCCTGGTGTTTTCTGGCCAGTGTGAAGTCCACAACTTCATTGAATTCATGGGCTTCTGAGGTAAAAGGATCTCCCTCCTTGATTGTTTCAGACTCCATCAATGGTACATTCTAGAAATGAGAAAAACTATAATTATTATTATTAGGAAAATGCTAAGGTGAAAATCATAGCTGAGAAAGCATCACATAAGAATCGTGGAATTCCACAGCATCATGAGCCTAAAAATTTTGGGTTTCATTATTTTAAAAATTGCTCAGCACATGTGAATATCTGCCGAAATCCCAGGAGCCAAACAGTAGGCAGGCAGGATTTGATTTGCCCTCCATTATTCCTTGCTTCTTCTACAACTAGTAAATTCAGAACAAATCACATAAAATGATCAAGTGAGAGAAACTGTGCAAATTCAGCCAATTTGCATCACATTTACTTACCCTAAAGAGTCTTGGCTTGGATTACAATTGAAAAAATGAAAATTCAGCACCTGACCAATCAAAGATGGCCTTGAGGACAGGGACTAGTCACTATACTTCTAGGGGAGAGCTGGGCTTTTAAGATCAGGTTAGGGGAGAAATGGCCTGCTTCTACCTGGTAAGATTTCTAGCACTACCCTTCCAACTATGGTAATCTGATCCTTTCTGCCCTATTCTATCTATTCCTTCTTTGCAGGAGAAAATATCATATGGACATCCCTGTAAAATTCCGTCAATGAGGTAGTGTGATTGCACAATAAAAGTTTTGTCTGGAAGCACCTTGTACAAAATGTTATATTTACGAAGGTTATAGCAATTCGATGCCACTATAATTGTCATGGCTCCATCCTATGGAATCAAGGGATTGTTTTGTTTGGTGAGAGAAATCTGCATTAGAAAGCTCTACTGCCCTCTTCCTAGCTATAGCAGAGAGCGCTAATTCTGTCAGCAAATGACACATCATGGAATTTCATAGGAGGGAGCCACAGCACTTAAGGCAGTATCACATAGTGTAACCATGTGGCATAGACACCCCTTTAGTCTCCTGTTTCTCCTAGAAGAGTTCTTTGTATTGTTCAAGTGTCCTGCTTCATTCACTGCATTATATGGCAGCTCCAGCTTTCCATCTGTAACCCTCCCACATTTCCCCATTGCTTCTGCCAACCCTTTTCCTGCCACAGAAAAGGAAGGAAAGGAAGACTAGCTGCACACCATCTTTTGGTTAGTAGCACAAGGAACCGTCCTGGACCACCCTTTGCCCCAAAGGGCATTTTTGTCTCCTCTTTTCAGACAGCTGAACATCCTCCTCACCTATAAGTGCCATAGAGGTATATTTCTCACTTTCAGGTCCTGGACCACCCTTTGCCCCAAAGGGCACTTTTGTCTCCTCTTTTCCTCACCTATAAGTGCCATAGGGGTATATTTCTCACTTTCAACTGCTTCATTGCCACTGAAATAATTTAAGTAAGATTGTCTCCCATGGACCATATCACCTGAATATCCTAATACTATTCTTTGTCAAGTCCAGAGCTAATGTCTGAAACTAACCCACAGTGGGCATGTTCCAAACAGAGGGCACATACCACTCACTTACAAACAATAGGAAGCTATTCCATTTTTTCCCCTCTCTAGTGGATTTTTTCTGATTAAAATAATATAAGCCACTGGAAAAATCATAGAATGGATTCCAATTGGAATGATGCGGAATGCTCTTCTGTGAATAAGGCACTGCAAATGCACAAAAGAAGCCTTGTCTGAGATTACAGATAACTATCTTTTCCTCAGAGGCCTGGCAGTCTACTTATAACAGCAGTGACCACATTGTAGACCTCCAGATGCTATTGGGCTGTAATTCCTAACAGCCTGAGCCATCAGAGGGCACATACCACTCACTTACAAACAATGGGAAGCTATTCCATTTTTTGCCAATGATGAAGAATGCTGGGAAATGCAGCCTAGTCTGTATGTTTGAAGGACTACATCTTGCTCACTCCTGACTATAGCAGCATTTTAAGCAGCCAGCCTAGGAATACCCTGCCTCATGAGCGGAAAACTTGCAAGAATGGGGAGAGCTAGCTGACACATCCAAAGCACCACCCAAGTAAATGGTCACCGAAGCAGTGGGACTTTGAATGATACGACGAACATGAGACGCAAACAAGTTTGGGCACTGGCTTTGGTTACTGCACAGGGGAAGGGCGGGCACTGCTTAATGAGATTAGAGTTATGTGGATAGGAAATGTGAGTCTGTTTGATTTAAGACTACACAATTGTACATTGCTAACTAAATTTAGATCAAAGCCCCACAAACAGTTGTTATTACAACCTTCAAGTATTCTGGGCATAAATTTACAATGTACACATTGTATCCACATCTAAAAACTCACTAGTAGTAAGAGGGTGGTGGCTCTAAAACACGAAAGTTTTTCACACAAGGAATAATTTCTAACTCTCATCTTTTTGTTAATGCTACAGCTGCCTTTCCCTTTCCTGTCTTCCTTCTTTCTGAACAAGTCACTGAGGTTAAGAGGGTGGAGGAAGAGGAAGAGGCCCATAACGTCCATGAAACCATTGCTCCTTAAGCCTCTTGCAACACAGGCAGCTGCAACAGAATGACTTCGCTGAAAAAGCAAGATAACAGGAATAGTACAGCTACTGAAAAAGCCTGTTTACTCAGTGAGCAACTGCACTAGAAGACTTCAAAAGCTACATCTACCTCCTCACAATTTAGGCAAACTCATCAGCTATTTGTAGGAACTAGGAATTAGGGGGACGGGTGGCTAGCAGGTTGCTGACCTCATTCTAGCTGAGCAAAATCTCTGTGTAAATGCAAGAAGAATTAAATCCAGTCTTCAAAAAGGTAGCCAGTCTCACTCTCAGAATACCTAAGAAAAATAAAAACCAAAAAGTTGTGGCAACTTCAAGACATTATAGGTATTTATTTCAGTGGGAACTTCTGTAGATTACAATCTACTTCCCCAGTGGAGGAAATAGATTTTAATCTTCAGTACTCATGATGGAAAGAAATCTGTTTGTCCTTAAGATGCCAATATTCTTTTATTTTTGTTATGCGAGTACAATCTGAAGCTTTAGATTGTTCTAGCCCGTAAGAAGAATGAATAGGTCATTAAAGTGCTCCTGTTGAGTCTCTCCTCCCCCACCGCCCCTCCACTTCCTTTTCAGCTCAAGTCAACCCATTTTCCCAGTTTATTAATAGTTTCTCATTTTGCATTTATTAATTTACACTCCAGTGTTTCCTTCACAATGAAGGCTATCAGTCTCTCTCTCTCTCTCACACACACACACACACACAAAAACAAACACACACGTGCACACACCCCCACAGAGCAGCAATTTTATTGTATTTAAAAAGGATAACCCCAAATCACAATGGGGATAGTTTAGCTCTCTTCTTGTATTCACCAATTATTCTTCAAGCTTTAAACTAATACAAATACAGTGGGATATGCTTATAATAAATTAAATGAAACTTACTGACACCTAATTAACCTATGCTCCTGTGAGAAACCCCTATGCGGCACTTAAAAAACCAACCTGGGTACACCCCAGCCATTGTCCATTCAACAAATATGCTGCTGGTTGTGATGATAAACGATTTACCAGGGAATGAAACAGATGATAATGCCTATAATTTATATGGAAACATGTCTTTCCATATAACAGGAGCAAGAGGAATAAACATCTAGTCTTGTTCAAATACCAGGTCATCAGAGCCAACTTTGAGGGAGTGTGCCAAAGGAGAGACAAGAGCCAGTAGCGTCAATCAAGGTGTCAATCAGGATGAAAACAATGCAGCAGCTGTCCTCATGTTACACAAATTGAGCAATTTATGTACCTTTGCACTAAAACTGGGCAATAATCACTATTATTGTCATTTTCTAAAAGTTCCACTGTTTCCATTTGCTCATATATGAATATATTGCTATGTATAAATGTGCACGTATAAAAATTTTCTATAAATATTGTTGTTCATTATAGGCAGTAATTGGTTGTTCTGTGTTAGAAGGAAAATGATGATCTTGCAATAAATATGTTCCCCACTAAACAATTATTCTTAATGGATTAACATCTGAAGAGGTCAGGGTAGGCATCAAATAATAAACAGTCAAACAAATTGCTACGATTCTTAGATTAACAGAAAAAGAGATGTCAGGGCTCAGTTCTAGAAGCCTCACAATCGGACCTAAAAAACTGCCTGCTGATTACATAGTTGATATGCTTTGTTTCCCTAAGGTAGAAAAAATACAATGTGCTCAGAGGCTTGTGTTTATTCTTTTGTCTTTAATTTAGCAGTATTTTAAATCTGGCATGATTTAGGACACATACCAGTGAATTTATGGCACTTTAAATCTGGCATGATTTAGGACACATACTAGTGAATTTATGGCACGTATGCATGCATGGTGTATATTATAGTCCTGATTCACATCACCCATTACAGTCACTTTTGGAGAACTGAGAGGTTGGGTATTCCAGTCATGGAGATTCCACTGTGCCATGTCATTTGGCTCATGATCTCTTTGACATACCTGAAACTTTAGGTCAGATGTTATGTTTAAGGTGTATCTTCTACCATCATTTCTCTCCACGCATGCACATTTTTCAGTGTTACAAGCCCATGACATTAAACAGGCAGACAAAGTCATGCTATCTCTCAAATGACTGATAACAAAACTAAAGTGAACTAGGTTGCCAAATACATATTGAAGCAGACTAGTATTAGAATAAAGTCTTGTTGCACCTTTAAGACTAACAATATGAGCCTTCATGGATTTCAGTCTGTTTCTCATACAACAGCTATCCCAAAGTTTTATATTTACAGTGTTCTACAATTGTCCTCTACTAATAATTTTCCCCTGCTCCAAAGGAGCTATTTTGTGCTCTAAAGGCACTGTCACATAGATTGTAACAGAGAATAATGACTAAGAGACCAATCAGCACAGCCATTGTCCTCAGTCATCTGTATATGCTAAAGCAGTGGTCCCCAACCTTGGGCCTCCAAATGTTCTTGGACTACAACTCCCAGAAGCCTTCAGCACCATATCTGCTGGCCAGGATTCCTGGAAGTTGACGTCCAAGAGGAGGCCGAAAGTTGGGTATCACTGTGCTAAAGCATACCTCAGAATCTTCTGCAAAGAGAGAGTTAAAAGGGTCTCTCAAGGAAGGTGAAAAGCTTTCCAAATATGCATACTACTGTTCTATGATCATGTTATAAAGTTCTGCAAGAATTCCTGTGCATTTCTAAGCTGGTTGCCTTCTCTGCAACTGCTTGCTGATGGGACAGATACCGTCTGTCAACTATGAGGCAGCAAAAAGACAATCCTGCATTTCTCAAAGATATTTAAAGTTTCTTTAGATTTAGGCATCTCTCTGTGGAGCCAGAGATCATGGCTTCAATCCATCACTGTGCCTCCTAGAAAAAGAGCCAGACTCTGTTGCCCTGGGCAAGGTGCATGGAAGCAGAGCATCGGCAGCAGAAGAAGGGAGTGGGAAACAACTTTTGAGTATACAGTACCTAGAAAACCCTGGAAAGGGTTGCCATTTCAGATTCAGCTTGATGGCAAGAAATGACCGATTGACTGACTGACTGAATCTTTATTATGTGCCTCAACTTGTATATTTGTTAATGATCACCCTTATTGCAAAACTTCTTAAGTCTCCAGTGACCTCGTAAGAAGGAATTGAATTGAATTACCCTTTTAGTCGTATCCGACCCTTGGCAATTTCATGAGCCAGCTCTCTCCATGACTTCCAATATTGAACAACTTCTTTCAGCTGCTTTACATTTTGGCTAGTATCTGCTTTAGTTACATCCAACCAAAGTGTTCTTTGGCATCCTCATTGTGTTTACCACTGATGGTAAAAGGAAAGTGAACTGCGGAATAAGTGGTGGAACCCCTGAAATGTCTCCACTCTGACAACTGAAGTATGTATAATGATACGGTAATGCACTGTCCTAAGCCCATATTTTA